AATAATACTAATAATAATAATAATAATAATATTTATAATAATAATTTTGATCAGTCCGATCCACGAATATATCGTACTTGTGAAATAATTTAAATTGATTTCATGGTCACGCCGAAGGAACGTCCTTAATGGTGGTGGGGAGGTAGGTGGAAGTAAGACGGAGGGCGGTCTAATAATTTTTTTTGGATTTTTTTCTTCCTTTCCTTTTCTCTTCCTTCCTTTTTCTCTTTCTCTCTTTTCTTTTTTTCTTTTCTCACTCTTTCTTTTTCCATCCCCTATGAAACCGTTGGAAAATCTTTAACGACAAAATCGAATCTTTCATCGATATTCGTAGCACGGTAATCAATCGAAAGAGAACGGACGAGGTGGAGAGATGTTGGCAAGTTAAAAGCACGATAAAACAGCGTAGGAGAATCGTCGACGGTTAAATCACGTTACTCTGATCGTCGTGACACATGCAATTTTTCGTGACTGATTTTCCAGACCGGTTAACATTGGTGATTCAATCTCTTGTACGGCAACGAGATTCAATCTAACGCGTCGCGTTGGCCACGATTGCATTAAAAAAGACTAGTGTCGGCACATTCGAAAGAGAAAGAGAGAGAGAGAGAGAGAGAGAGAGAGAGAGAGAGAGAGAGAGAGAGAGAGAGAAATGGGATAGCAGAAGGAAGGAGAAAAGATTACGTACGTTTCTCTTTTGGGGTTTCACGATCTCGTTTTAAACAAACGATCCAATGTTAATGTATAGCCCCGTGATAGATAGTTTCACTATATTTTTCCATAGGTATTCAGTTGCAGTAAACATACCCTCCATTTTCTACGGTAATCGAGAAAAAAGCCAAAACGAGGAAATAAAGAGACTATATATTTTCTTCGAAATGAATGCTTTTTGCATAAAGCTCTCCCGACCCTCTTCCCCCACCCACCCATTTAACATTTCCGACAAATTTTATGTTTCAATGTAAGATAAACAACGTTTCTGTCAATGAATAAGCCACAATTGCATTCGTTACATTCTTATTTTATTTTTTTCGTCTTCTTTCCTTTTTTTCTTTTTCTCCTACTTTCTCTCTCTCTCTCTCTTTCTCTCGCGCACGCGACATTTAATGAATTATTCGAACTGATATATTTAATATTGTATTTGCTTTACCTATGGGCGAGGAACATTTTGCGGAATAATCATTTTGTTTATGGGAATCAATAAAATATGATATATCGAGAGTCAATAACCGCTCACACGTACTCGACACGTGTCAACGATTTTAAACGAACTTTTCAGGATGGTTCTAAATGTTAAATGAATAAATTTGGATGGGATGATGGGGGAGAGGGATGGAAAAAAAAGGAAGAGCGAAGGGGGTAGGCGGAAGGAGCAGGGGGTTAAAGGTATATGGAAAGAGAGGAGAAGCGTGACACGTGAAAAATTCAAAGGTATCACGCGCGCGTCGAACGTGAAAATTTCGTAGTCAACGAACTGGCAAGTTTATTGGCGATTTAAAAATAACAACGCGCGCCGTGTATTCACGCATACACACAGGCAGACGGACAGATGGACAGACGGACGGACGAACGGACAGACAGATAGACGGACAGACAGACAGACAGAGAAACACGTATTTACAGAATACGTACACATATCTATCATCTATCGTGCGAAATTTTGCGAGAGACACCGAGTCGGCGTTACTCATCGTTGAAATAGTATACACAAACGCAGGATCGTCGCAACCCTGATGCTACCACGGCAAACACCAAGAGAGAACGGCACCGAAATGCAATTACAGGAGGGAATAAGGCCATCGCCCTCGTTGGATTCCACCCCATACAAACGGGCCTCCGATCTGCTATCACCGTTCGCTTTACGGTTCGAATCTCCCCTGTCCTTTGTGAGAGACTGTTCGACCTTCGTGCCTGTAAAAAGCCTCCCTTTCGAGGACGTCTTCGAAGCGACGCAGTGAATCCCTCGTTCCTTCTGTCGGATCCTATTGCGTGCCTTTGCACCACTGGAAGAACGCATTAAATACCAACGAAGGGGAAACCTTCCCGTTTCTATCCAACCATCCTTTTTGAACTTTCTCGCTTAATCTTCCAACTGTGAGATAAGAATGAAAAAGGAAGTGTTTACAGGGAAACCCGTACATTTAACTTGCTTTATTCGAAAATACGTGGATTGAATAACAGGGGATGATATTATTGGCTTGTCTTCAAAATTCGTCCAGTTAGTTTCTCTTTCTCTCTCTCTCTCTCTCTCTATATATATATGCATCGAAACATAATACGTAGTATCATGTAGTACATGTATGCACATTTGCAACAATACTATGTTTAATTTTGTATGATATACTGCAACGAAATATCTATACATTTCCTTTCCCCTACTATTTTCCTTTCTTCTCTCTCTCTCTCTCTCTCTCTCTCTCTCTCTCTCTCTCTTCTTCCTTTTTTTATGAATTAAATGACACATTTCAATTTATTAGCGTCTCATTGTAAAACGAAAGAGAATCGATAAAAGTAAAACTTCTCGGACAGATCCAATTTAGAAAGATAGATTTTCTAATTAATGATTAATTAAGTAAAAGGAATATCAAGGAGCCATTAAGAGAACTCGTACTCTGATTAGAAATTTGTCGTGGCATTTCCACTAAATCTACTACGTTAGGAAGGTGTTGGCTCTGATGGATGGTAGTAGAATGAGAAGATGGAATGAGAAAGAGACAAGGATAAGCGATGCTCGTTTTAACAGCTCGTTCCTTGGCAGTCAGCATCCTTAGCTTCCTTGCGTCCCACGTTTCGATTCAACTCTCCGATCTGAGCGGTCCTTGCTAAACCTAACTCTTAGTTAGATTCCAGTCCAGACAAACAGGTTTGCTCTCCAACAGTTGGCGCGCTTCGCTAAGCGAGCAACCCAAGCAACCCTGTTTGCGCATCCTAGCAAATCCACGCTCGGTTTTGGAATTGGGGTGCTTGCGCCCTCGCACCATTGTACGCGACAACTGCTAAGTGCTGCGGCAATCCGGCATTGGCGCCTCTTACATGGAATTACTGTTAAATGCGAACCTACCTTCCTTCTCCTCTAACCCTCCCCAATCCTCCGACCCTCCATCTCCCCTATCTCCTTTAGCTCATGCCTTCCTTTCCATAGCCAAACTGATTAGTTCTCCGATTTGGTAAGCGGAAGGAGTATGAGACAGAAAGAGAAAGAGAGAGTGAGATAGACGTATACACATACACACATACACACACACATATATATATATATAGATATAGAGAGAGGAGAGAGAGAGAAAGAGAGCGAGTATACCAACATTTCTTGCTAGTCCAAATTCGAAGCTGGTCACGAGCATTCTCCCAACACCTCAGTCTATTTTGGCTAAGATCCTCCTCCCTTGAACGTGGGTCTTGGAATTTCGAAGGTACCTTTAACTCCAACGAGGATTTCAGAACCACCACAGCATGAACGTGCTTCTCTCTCGATCGGAGTAGGAATACCAACAGGAGACGCGCTTAACTTTCCTTACGAAGTTTACCTTGGCCAACCTCGCTCGGACTTGTTGGCTAGTCGTATGACAACAATTTATGCTTGTCCTTCCTCCAGTAATTCGATAATTTAACCACGAACACGTAAATTACATTCGAACTTGCTTTTGCTACTGATCGATATTACGTTTCATATCGACCAACTTTTTTGATCGTTTCAATGCGATTTAATTAATATCAAACGTTTAATTATTTTGATCGAATTGTTAACGAATAAATAATTATTTTATACAATCAAATAATTTTACGATATATATTATATATTATAAAATTAATTTAATATATTATATTTGAATTTTTCTATTTATTCGTATATATTCTATATTAACGTATAGAAATTTCCTGTTACAAATTAAAAAATTTAGATATTATCAATCGATTAGATATATATCTTTGAAATTATTTTTCCTACTTGTACGTGTATACTGATATCGTCATATTGTGATTATAGAAAATCGTTTATAAAAATTATTTATAATTAATTAATTCCCATGAACTTTTAATTAATTATTAAAAATATATTAAAAAAAAAAAAAAAAAAAAAAAAAAAAAAAAAAAAAAAAAAAAAATCTAATCATTGTGAATCGTAAAATATATTAAAAGAAAAATCTAATACAATGATTGCACATAAAAATATTTCTATTGACTAATTGAGATATATTATTATTCGATATGAAATTTTTATTTAACATATTTATCGTTATCGTTGAATATCCGATAAAAGATGAAAATACGTTTAACGATCTGAAAAATTTTCAAATATTTCTTAAACGATACGAGATGCTAATAAGAAATCAGACTTTTTGATATGATCCATTTCAGATAGGGGAGAAAGATTTTGGTGTATTGAAAGAATAGAAGGATCGAAAGAATAGAAGATCGTGTCGAGGATATCTCGAAGGAATACGTTCCTACGTGGTACTTACGAGAAAGGTCTCGATCTCAATTATGTATTCATAGCCAGAGCAGACGACGTACGGTACGGAATGGGCATCCAGATGGGTGGAAGGAGTCGACAGAAATGAAGTATCAACCGGAATACTCTCACCACTCACGTCCTACGTTTCCCCACCACTACGTCTTTTGGTTACACCAAGTGCCTTTCCAATATGGAATCTAAAGTGTTTCTCGATATCTTGGAAAATTTTAGAATCGTAGAGCGATATTCTCCGTCTCGATTTTATTTCCTCAATGTTGTCGTTACTTCAATATATTCGTTATTCAAAATTCGATTGTTGTATAATGTAATAACGCATATTTGTAATAAATTTTATCTTCGATCGATATATTAGATAAATTTCAAACTGACGAATATTTCTTTTTCTTTTCCTTTGTTCCTTTTATGTTTTTTTTTTTTTTTTTTTTTCTTTTTCTTTTTAATTTATTAAATAATTTGAATATAATCGCGAATACGGTGTAACTCAAATGTATACTAGTAAAATTAAATAAAATTTGTTACTTACCATTAGGTGGAAATTCGTAGAAAAATGCTGATCTCGGGCTCAGACAGCTGTAAAAGAGAAGAGAAAAAAGAAGAAGAAGAAGAAGAAGAGGAAGAAGAGGAATAAGTAGAAGATGTAGAAATAGAAGTATACGTTAAAGTAGAAATGGACAATACGATTGAGATATTTTTAATAGAAATAAAAATTCAACTAAAATATCAAATTACATTTTTTTGTTTTTCTTTTTCATGGTGGAACGAGTCAACGTCAGTAACATATTTGTTGCAAGGATATACGAGCTGAATTGTTGTAGACGTAGAAACGGCACGTATTCGGTATTTCACATTAACGTGATTCCGGCATAATCACGCGCGTTATGACTGGTAAGAACGGACAATTTGCGCTCGTCTTTATTCTCTTAATGTTAGTCCACGATTGACCCATTCTACCTCGAGATTTATAAATTTTCTCACGTATCTTAGTGACGAAATAAAAAAAAAAGAAAAAAAGAAAAGAAATCTTTTAATTTCTTTATTTCTTTATTTTTCTTTTTTTTTCTGTAAAAAGAAAAAGAAAAAGAAAAGAAAAGAAAAAAGAAAAACAAAAAATACTTACCTTTGGTAAGGTTGCGGATGTCCAGCCGGTGTCATGGCGGCCGTATTCTGCGTGGCAAGTGCAAGTTTTTGTTGACGATGTTGAAGCATTTGTCTACTGAAGACACCGTAACCGAAGCCATAGATCTCATCTTCTTCCTTATCACTGAGGCAACTCGATGGCTATAAAAAAGAAATAGAAATCACGTTTTTATCCTTTTCTATCTCTCATAAAGTTCCTACGTTATTACCTGAAATTTTTATTTCAGAAGCAAAAAAAGAAAAGAGAATGTAAAAGGTAAAGAAGAAAAAGGAAAAGTTTTTAATTTTCCTCCTAGAAAACGAAGAACAATTTGTCGTCGTCGTGGAAGAAAAAAAATTTCATTTTTCTTTCACGGCAAGAGAGAAAGAGAGAGAGAGAGAGAGAGAGAGAGAGAAAGAGAGGGAGAAAAGGAAACGAAAAAGAAGTATGAAAAAGCTTGGTACTCTTTTAATCGAGAATGATTCTCCTTGGTCTTTCTCTTATCGGAATAGAACGGAGGAAGTTCCTTATTAATTTTCCACGTCGACGCGCCCGCGGGGGGTCTTCGAGAAGAGCTTGACCTTAATCGGCAATCGATTTCTCGCGATTGGAAATTCGATTAGCCGTTGACGGTGTTGCCGTTGGAACGTCTCACGGTTACGAACAATGACCGATTTAAGCTTTGGGATCGATGGTGGTTTACACGCTTGATAAACCTCTTAAGCCACTTTGGAAAATTACTCTCGACGGACATTCTCGATCCTTTTACTTGCTATACACGTTCGGTTAATCTTACAAGTAAGATGATTCTCTTTTATTTATTTTTTTCTTTTTTCTTCTTCTTCTTCTTCTTCTTTTTATCTTCTTTTTTTTTTTTCTCTCTTTTCGAGAAAGAAAATTCTCCGAAGAAAAAGATGAGAAGTCATGGAGAAAGAAAGAGAGGAGGGAGGCGGGGAAAGAAAGAGAAAGAGAAAGAGAAAGAGAGAGAGAGAGAGAAAGAGAGAGAGAAAGAGAAAGGATTTATTCACCGAGTATTTTCCAGGCACGTAAATGGGCTGTGAATGACTGGTGGTAAGCTGAGTGTTGGGCATTCTGGGGGAAGCATTTGTTTCGCGTCGGCGTAACTCCTCAAGCGGCTCCAGGACATCTCCGTAATGCGTTCTGAAGAGGTCTGCATACCTTGAAGCTAGTCCCTCCAAGTATCCCCTCTCGCCTTCCTGAAAGAGAAAAGTGCCGTAACGTTAGAGAGGGTTTGTTAAACGTAAACGTGCGAGCGAATAACCTACGTTCTTATACACGGTGTATAATATATATATATACATATATATATACATATATATATATATATATATATATCATACATGTATGTACTTTCTCTCTCTCTCTCTCTATCTCCCTCTAATGACAATAAAAGCGTGAAAAAGAGGTGGGACAGGAAGAAGAGAGAAAAAAAACATGGAAAGGAAGAAAAAAGGAAAAAAAGAAAGAGAAGAAGAAGAAGAAGAAAGAAAGAAAGAAAGAAAGAAAGAAAGAAAATGCCAGAGGATATTTAACTGTAAACTCTCATCTCCCGGCGTTTACCGCATCGAATTAACTCTTTGAAACTTAAGGATAGTCGACGTAGAAAAGATGAAAGGACGATGCGAGAGAGGGAACAGCCTTTTCTCGCGTTATCTTTATTCTCCTTCTTCGAAGTTTCAACGACGTCTTTCAAAGCATTCCGGGGTAGAGGATTGGAAGAGGGGTGAGAAAAAGCGATACTACGATAATCCGCGAACTGGCCGTGAGTATATTCACGAGGACTTCCCTTAAGCTTCTACGTGTCCTTTATCGGATTTTTTTTTTTCCTTCCCTTTTCTTTTACAACGACGTTATATATACGCGCGACGTATATTCTTTAAAAGTAATGATGTATATAAACGATGAACTTATAACGATGATATGTACATCTATAAGCGTATATATAAGTATAAAAGGATCTTATATCTTGATCTTTCTCTCTTTCTCTTAAAGAATTATATTCAATCTATATAATTTCATTAATCTTATCTATGTATGTATAAATAAAAGATATATATATATATATATATATATATATATATATTCAATTTTCTCAGCTTTTATTCCCTCAGGGAGAATAGATCAAATCGAATAGATATAACCTTGTATTTTTCTATAATTTCAAAGAACGTTTCTACTTTTCAAAACGTACTAGGATAGTATATATATATATATATATATATATATATATATATATATCAGAGCCAAGGTTATATTTATTGAACAAAATTCAAGTCGATACTCGAAAAAGTTTTATTATAGATCTTGTTATTACTTCGTCGCTTTATCTTTCTTTCCTTTTTTCCTTTTCTTCTTTCTTTCTTTCTTTCTTTCTTTCTTCCTTTCTAATTACATCGAAGAGATGGGGTTAGCGAGTCGAATTTTCATTCACAGTTGTAAAAGTAGAAGAAAAGGGGTCTAGGAACAAGTCGTTTTTGTCGAGCATCTTTGTCACCCTCTCATTCATTCTACCACCATCGTCTCATTATCGATAATCCTGGAACATTAATTAGAATTCCAATCTTCCGATTTAATACAAGCCGAGCCTCGTTGTTCTATGTCCTTCTCTCTTTCTCTTTATATATATATATATATATATATATATATATATATATATATCTTGTTCCTTCTCGTTCTATACTTGAAACCTCGAGAATTCAACCCCTCTTCTATGCAATCCTCCCCATTCGTTTCATCATTTTCCCCCCTGAAGCGAAGCTTAACGGTCAAACTGAAAGTTCCAACTTGAGAGCGCATAAAGCAAACGAATTTCTCGCGATGGTAGGATTCTTCGGAAGTACGTTAAGATCGTAAATTAAAATTTTATCCACGAATGAATAATCGAGGAGACGAAACTCGTTCGCTCGATCGATCGTGTAGTAGGTATGCAACAACACTACTAGGTATCGCGAATCAACGAGCATTTTTCTCTCTCTCTCTCTCTCTCTCTTTCTCTCTTTCTCTCTTTCTCTCTTTCTCTCTTTTCTTCCCCTTCTCTACTGGATTTTTCAAAATGTTGGAAGATTCTATCTTCTTTTCTCGTTATCGTGTACTACTTCGCATGGAAAACACGGCTCTTGGAAAACTTGTTTTCCTTGAAGAAGAAAATAAAAAAAAAAAAAGAAAAGAAAAGAAAAAAAAAAGAGAAATACTTTGAAGAGCGTTCGGTAAAGCCGCTTCTTTTCTGAAGCAGCTACGAATGAAATATCGAGGGAGGTTCAAACGATTTCGTTCGATCCCGAAAACGAAGTTTCTCTCTTCTTTCTTAATGTTCCTTCTATTTTCTTTTTGCTCGTAAATTTTTTTTCTTTTATATTTTTTTTCTTCTTCCTCCTCCTACTCCTACTCCTTCTCTTCTTCTTCTATGTTTTCTTTTTCCTCCCTCCCCCCTTCTTTTTTTCCTTAATTTAAAGACGGTTTTAACTCCGCGAGAAAAAAAAAACTTTGTTGACGAGAAAGCCTAAATCCTTTTACGGAACGTCGAATTCTGAAGGGGGACCCGATCCTTTCGGCAAAAGAAAAGAGAAAAGAGAAAAGAGAAAAAAGAAAAAAGAAGAAGAAGAAGAAGAAGAAGAAGAAGAAGAAGAAGAAGAAGAAGAAGAAGAAGGAGAAAGGAGGCAAGAGAAAAAAACAGGAGAAGGTGGAAAAGAAAAGAAAAGTCCCTCTTGAACTTTGAATTCCTTCAGAACACGTTCCCCCCGAACTACTTTCGATATGCTATGCGAATAGCATGGCCGTTCTCTCTCTCGATGCCGGTACGTAACTTTCCGCAAAACCGTTTTACACTACCACTCGATTCCGCCTTGAATATCCGCCGATCGATCGTTTGCCGAATACCGCGGTGAGCCCCAAGAATCGGATAAACGAAGATAGAAAGAAAATTGAAAAGTCAAGAAGTTTTTTTTGTCTCTCTCTTTCTCTCTCTCTCTCTCTCTCTCTCTCTCTCTCTTTTTCTCTCTCTTTTTCTTTCTTTATCTCTCTCTCTCTCTCTCTCTCTATTTTTTTATTTCCAATTATTACTTACGTTTTCTTTGCACTTTTGATAAACGATTACGTTTACGATTAGAATTATCAAATTCATAAAAATCATATATTACAGATTTCATTTCTTTTTATAATTATTGAAATAATCATTAGAATTAATGTAAATTAAATGTCATCTTCGTTTTATTTATCAATGAAAGAATTAAATGAATTATAAATAATTATGTATATAAATTGAATTTTCTTCTTTTTTTTTTTTTTTTTCAAATACTCATCTACTAACTAATATCTATTGTATACATATTTTTATATAAATTTGTTTAAAATAATTTATACATTAGATTAGATTATAAATGTTTAAATAATAAAAGAATTTCTTAGCCATTGTAAAAGAATCAAATCATTTATATTCAAATTGACGTATTTAATTTCTTTTCGACCACAAAATTATTTAAATCTTTCATTAGATTTAATTATGTGAATACATTTGCATTCATTTCTATTAAAATTTGAAAGTATTTGAAGCACCATTTTCTCTAGACCTATGAATACTTCCAAACGAAGATTGTACGTATTCATTTAATTCTCTTATATATATATAAGAGAATATATATATATATATATATATATATATATATATATATATATTGAAAATGATTTGAAAATATTTCAAACGTTGATTGGATTTAAAAAATTATCATACGGAATTTCGATTTTAATAATATTTTAATAATCTATCTAAATGACACGGCAATTAGCATAATTTTTAAAAATTTTTATACATAATTTTAATATAATTTTATTAATTTTTTTTCTCTAAATTATTATTAATAATAATCTATTTTAACGTTACAATTAAATAAGAATTGCATAATTACCATAGAGTATACCATATTTAAAATTCTTACACTTCGTTAAATAATATTATCGTATTATTTCATTAATAAATAACATTAATATAATTCAAACGATCATGACATCTATATGAATGATCGATCAAAATATCGAAAGGTAAGAAATCAAAGTATTAAGAAACATTACAGTCATTGCTCCATTATTTTCTGTCTAGGAAAGTTCAACCTTAGTAACATTTCTCATCATTCTTTTCCCTCATTTTTCTCGATCGTGAACACTTTCTGCGAGGAAACGCAAGGAGGAGAAGAAGAACGTTCTCTATTCGATCGCCACTTACGATCGTAAATAAAAGCTGAGATGTTAGAAGAAGAAATCAAGAAAAAGAAAAAAGAAAAAAAGAAAAGAGAAGAGAAAACAAAAATAAGAGCAAAGTCGAGGAAGAAGGAAGGGTCGTCGTAGTTCGAACAAATCGATCGATCGTCGTCGTCATCGTCGTCGTCGTCGTCGTCGTCGTCGTCGTCGTCGTCGTCGTCGTCGTCGTCGTCGTCTCTTCGCAAAGATTCTTTAAATGTTCTGTAAAATGGCAGGAGCAAGACGGATTGTTCTGGCGAACAAGAGTGTACCGTTCGTTTGTTTAAGCCCGAAGCGCGAAGTAGTGGGTAGGAGCAGTTTCGCGATAATTGGGCAGCCCTGGGGGGTTCTCTCGTCGCGATAGAGGACGGAATTATTTTCGGGTGGTCCCTTCAACGTGCATTGCACCCGCCCCATTAGCGAAGTCGCACCCTCCCCCCCCTTCCTCCGTACCTTCTCCATCACCTCTACCACTACCAACTAGTACCAACCAGCATCAGCAGTAGCACCACCAGCAGTAGTACCAGTACCACCTCCCTACTACTGTCGTTGCCGCAGCAGCGTGCATTCATTTCCACCCTCGTTATTTGCATATACTTCATTTGCTCGCTTCCACCCTCCCACTCTATCTAACTCTCTCTGTCTCTCTCTCTCTCTCTCTCTTTCTCTCTCTATTTATCTATCTATCTATCTCACTCTTTCTTTCACTTGCTCTCTTCTTCACGTTTCCATCAACCGAATGTAATTCATGAAAAAGCTCGGCAAACCAAAAATCGGGACCTTCTCTCACGGGGCATCATCATTCGGACACCTCGCTGATTGAAAGGCAGATTGAACATAAAGAGAGAGAGAGAGAGAGAGAGAGAGAGAGAGAAAGATAGGGGGGAAAAACCCGAAGATATATTTAGATATAACGTCCGTAGAAGTCCTCTCGTATTTTATTTTCACACATGGTAATCTCGCAAAC